TCTCCTCCAGAACTGTTCATGAAATTTCTTTTGCTTTCTTCTGATTGTACAAGAGCATAAACTTCCTGAACTGATGGAAGATCCTTGCTACCTAGGATCTGAACTCTGATAGATTCATATGTAGGATTCAAACCATGTAAGAAAGCAAACACACTCTACTGGGAGACGAGTTTTTTGTATAGTTTTGCATCTTCATCACACTTCCAGTCCACACTCTGATAATGATCAACTCCTTCCAGACAGAGGTCAAGTCTGAGTAGTACACAGAGACACCTCTCCCCCTGTTTACAAGTAGACGATTCAACCTGTAGTTGGTAGATTTTTGCATAGTGTCGCAATTCCGAATATGTTGATTTTGCTTATTCCCATATCTCATTTGCCGTTTCAGCCCACATGAAATTCCTTCTTATTTGAAGTTGCATAGAAACTAAAAGCCAGGACATGACCATGTTGTTTCCCTGGTTCCATCTGTCATATTCAACAATCCCAGAATGTGGTTCTTTGATTCTCCCATTAATATAACATATCTTTCCCCTTGCAGTGATGTACAACTTGATCCCTCTTGACCACTCTAAATAATTTAAACCATCAAGARGRAYAACRRYCATGGGAAAKGATAGGTCCACACCCCCACTCATTCCATTCAGCATTGAGGAAACACCGGATGTAGCAGAATCTTCACCACTCATGATTTCAGATTCAAAAACAACTCTTAAATGGGGTACACAGCCTTAAAGTGTTGTTGCAGGTGCTGTTACAGCACTAACAGGTCATCCCTTGACTTACAAGTTCAACACAAGTGTTGCCACAGTGCATGCAGGTCATCTCTTGACATATGCATCAACAAGACTACTGTTACAACAAGTACTGGTGACTTTCTGACCTTCAGTTCACCATAAAAGCTGCTGTTGCAGCACACAAGAGGTACTRGTCACTTTCTGACCCWCAGTTCACCATAAAAGCTGCTGTTGCAGCACACAAGAGGTACTGGTCACTTTCTGACCCACAGTTCACCATAAAAGCTGCTGTTGCAGCACACAAAAAAGGTCCTCACGACCTACAGTTTCTCAGGGATCAGTCAACCCCACAAAAAAGGAAAGAAAGAGGTGCTGATCACCTCACATCCAATCGGCAGACATAGTACAGGTTCTGCCCTGGCACACAACCAGAAAAAAAGGTAAGAGAGAGAGAGAGAGAGAGAGAGAAAGGCTACTTCAATGTGTGAGATCTTCAATCAGCCGAACAGCAAATGAGGGCGGCAGATCTGGAAATCTGATGCGAAGAAGAAAAAGGACTGTTCGCTCAACTTCTCCTTTCAGATCTGGTAGTCCTGCTCTGATACCAAGTTATGCAGGAGAGAAGAATGAAAGAAGAGAGAAAAGAGAGAGAAGAGAGAACTGAGAGCTCAAAGATCCTGCTGGCTGCGCAACTTTTTAATATATATACTAGGGCGACAGCAACTAAAATAAAAAAGGAGCAAAAGTACAATAGTACCCCTGTGGTACTATACATAGGATCAATAACAGCTGTTAACAGATCCTAAGTCTCCGCTACGACCAGCAGGAGACCTTACCAACCAGCTGGCTGGTTGGCACCTTGCATAGCCCTTCCCAATTCATGTTGAATTAGTTTTTCTCACATTTTGAATATGCATTTTCCACTTTATATAGTTTCAATTTAATGAACTTAGGGTCATAGAAAGATTCTTCCATTTGTCTTATTTCCCTTTTTCATTCAAGACACTTTGGTGACTTCCTAAATAACATCTAACCACCTTGATTTTTGTAGTCATTATTGTTGTGATTTTATTATTTGATATTTTGTTCTAGGGCAGTAGCTGACCCTATATAGTTGGACAAGGCTAAGATGATGATGACTTTGTTCCAAGGCAGTGGCCCCTATTGAATGGTTTCAACACCATGAATCCATTGCTAAGGCTATGCCAAAATCTTATTTTCACAATTTCTGCAGTATTGTCATTAATTTTTAAGTGTTATCAGCCTGTTATATTGTTCCTTTCCCACTTTGATTTCTCTATTACTTATGCATTCATGCTCCCAACCCTAAAGATGGAGGTATTGAACAAATCATTTTACTTGCTAGCCTAAACCATTTTCAGATAGGACACCTAGCCTAAACCATTTTCAGACTTTCTTCATCACGACATCATTTTGCACATTTTCTCTTTTCTGATTGTAATTACCATTGTTCTTGACAGAACGGTCATACAAGATGACTACTAAGTAGGTCTACCACGACCAAGTGACCACAGTTGTGAATACATTCATTCTTAATTTTCTTTTGAAGGCACAACTTGGAGGCTAGGTTTTGCCACTTCAGGATAGCTAGCCCGAGGTGCCTAATACCTTCCCTGAGACACAATAGTACTACTATCTTGCCTAGAACTCATGTTGTACACCCTGGTGGAGTTGATACTTCTGATTAGTGTTTTAAAAGCTCCAAGCACAAAAAAAAAGTGTAAGGGCCAATTTGCACCTGAGGCGCAAGGCGCAAGGTGAGGCATGCACCTTTTTAAGAAAGGCGCAAAATTACAAAAAAAGGCTAAAAAATAAAACATAAAATCAGAAAATTCCAAAAAAAAAGTGAAATTCTTAAAAATATTAAACATAATGATTTAAAAAACCTATTATCTAAAATTAAAATACATAAACATAACATGTAAAGTGTATACAAATGAAAATTTAAAAATAAAAGAAAACATATAAGGCATTTTCAAGCATGTAAAACCCACAATCTCTTTTTTTCCTTAATTGCATTGCTTCAAGTAGTTAATGTGGTGTAAAACATATTGCACTCTTGATTCTCTGAGTCGCCTTTGTAGCATGCCCCCTCGAGGCAAGCCCAAACAAGTCTATGTTAGGCGCATATCCCAAAATGCGCCTTGCCTGTACGCGCCTTTTAAATCACTGCTTTTGATTATTTATTATGGTGACCAATGATACCTAATTAGTTGGTGGAGACACATTTTCTTGCTTCCCCCTCTGGGAAGAAATTTCCTCCTTTTTCTCTTTTGTTGCAAGATCATGAGGCTACGCATGACGGAGCAAGTGTTTATCTTGTATATGGGTCTTAGAGAGTTTGGGCTCCTGTTCTCTAGTTGGATCCCACAGATATCCATTGATTTCATTTTTGTTTCTCCTTTCCTTTGTTCTCTATTGTTTGTTTACCTTCTTTTTGTTTGTTTACCTTCTTTCGTGGTTCAATAAAATCTTATTACCTATAAAAAAACGTTAAATGATGCAACCACATATAAAGAGCCACCATAAAGTGAAGACAACCATATTAAAGTTGGAAAAGGGGATAGAATTAAGTTTTGGAAGGATTCCTGGTGTGAGGAAGGCCCCTTGGCTGATGCTTTTCCCCGGCTGTTCCAAATTGCAGTGAATCAAGA